AAAGATTATTATTTTAAATGTAGAAATCTCCTTGAAACTAAATTAGGTAATAGGTTTTGTTATGCATTTAATTATCACAAAGTGGTTTAAGAAACAGATCAAGTTAATTTAATTCAAGAAAAGTACACTACAGACCTCCTCAACCAACCTCCTATGTCCTTAAACCAGTTTAATCTGATAAATCAATTCAAATGCTTCATTTTTCACTTCTATGTGTGTATAGGATTTTTTTAAAAAGTTTGTTAAATGTTTTTTACAGTAAGAGGAACGATTTGATCAATTAAAAACATTATCTGCCTAAAAATAAAAAATCACAAATAAACTTTTACACAAAGACTTCTGTAAAGAAGTAAACTACCTCTAGTCAATAAAGAGACATTAGCTTCACTAGTTTCAAATAGCTGGAAAGGTTGACACTTCCTTGGGTGTCACTGCAAACCGTGCTTGCTCAACTCATCACTTGCAAACTGTTATTACTCAGAACTACCCCTTATATTTACATAATTATAGTTGTGGCAGATGCACTGTTACAGTGATGGCCATGTCATCCCTTACCTTATAATTTAGTGTTTAAAAGATTCATTACTTGTCCCATATAGTTCACTCTAGATAGCACTTTCTCCACAAGATCTCATCCTGGGAGAATGAGAATGTGCTCCATGCAACTGAAAATGGGAGGAAGAAGCGGTACAATAAGGGTTGTTACATCCTAGGGATGTAAGTGACTTGTCAAGTAGTCCACTACCCAATAGCCTAGGCTTACCCAACTACTTGCTCCCTTCCCTTTGCTGCCTTTGTATTGCTCAGCAGTCCTGGACCTGGTACGAGCTGGGACTGCTCAGGACCGCTGCACCTCTGCCTTTTAAATGTGGTAAAACCGCCTGGCTCTTATTACATTTAAAGTCAAAGCCACAGTTGGAGTAGGTCCCGGACCTGGTGCGAGCTGGGACTGTTTAGTTTCAGCTTGCACTTGGTCTGGGACCTAACCCTACTGCGGCTCTGCAGTTTACATGTAGTAGGAGCCGGGCTACATACTACATTTAAACTGCAGAGCTGCAGTGGGGGTAGCTCCTGGGCCCCACTTCCCTTATTAACTAATCATGTAGTCAATACAAATTATCTCAACTACATGATTAGTCAATTACCTGCTTCTTCACATCCTTATTACATCCCAGCATTTTCAGGCAGCAACCAGCTAAAGCAAAAAAAAATGTAAATAAAGAATGTTTTAAATACTCCTATACAGGCATGGGAAGGGGAAGGCGGTGAAGGTGAGGTGCTGCAGTACCCCACAGATTTTGTGCCCCACCCTGCAGTCCCATTCACTAGGGTCCTGGCCGCTAGCTCCAGGAGATCCTGACCACCAGCTTGCTGTCTCTGGTAATCCCAATAGTTGCTACAGGCTCCACTGTTGGCCCCAAGGTCCTGACTGCCCAGGCTCCTCTGCCACCCAGGGTAATGGCTCCATTGCAGGCCCCAGGGCCCAAAATGTTGGACCTGCACCTGGGGCTTTGGAGCTGCCCCCAGCCTGAGGTGGTGAGGGGGGCAGACAAGGTAAGGCGGGAGGGGAGGGGGTGCAGCATAGCACCCACACCCTAAAAATTGTTCCAGCATCACTGGTATGCAGGAAAGAACTTTTTACATGAAAGAGAGCCACACTTTAAGATCAGTGAAGTTAACCGTATCTCCACCTCCAACTTATACATTACAACACATGTTTATATCAGTTCTTTACTAGACAGCCACTTCCTCTTTTCTATATGCCTGGTTAAGAGAATCCCCTATAGCCTTACATTGTCAGAGAACACACTTCACCCCCAAATAGCCACTGAATCAGTAGCAGTGCTAGCCCATTGCTAACCTTAAGCAAGAATATTTCTCTCCACATACAATAAAAAGTTAATAGAGCCCCCCGTGAGCTGCAAGGGGCCCTAAGCTTAGTCTGCTTAAGATGGTCACTAGCTTTGTCCACGATTGTAGCAATAAAAGCAGGACCTCTGCAGGGAACCCCTGACTATATTTTAGAGAAATTCCAAAGCCATCCACTGTTGCTACCACCTACAGCTGAGCCACCAGAAGAGAGGAAGGAGGGGAAAAGCCAAAATAAACTAGAAAAACACAGAAGCTGTGCTTAGAGCAGCATTATAAAACAAGCTGCATTCTCATCAGCTGTGAAGCTTGAAATAAAATTCAGAGGCAAGTCCCAGAAG